AAATTACTGCTCCTAAGCATGCAAGCTAGTTTTTTATCACAGTTTTTGTTCAAGCTAGACATGGCCACAACTTTGTCCCGGTACTTTTGACCCCTAACCAGAATATCACATCCTGTTGAAGCAGAAAAGACTAGTGTTGGCTGCGCCACAGGCACCAGTGCTGCAGCTGGTTTTAACGCCGGTGCCAGGAGCGGGGGTAATGGAGGAGGCATGCTTGTATAGAATCACCTAGATTTACTTCAAAGTTTACTAATATTGTTGGGGATTAGTAAACTTGGAAGTCGTGGCGTGGAACTCACCGACAGCACCGAAGTTATGGTGTTTATGGAGATGATGCTAACGTATTTCATCGCTCAGTTGCATGACGCTTTTGTGGTGGAGGAAAAAGGGTCAGCTTTTTTGAGTAGCTGGCTGGATGCACTGCGCCGCAAAGCATTTACCCTTTTTGTTTGCGTTCACGGGGAAGGCGCGTGGATATAATGGGAACATTTCGGCAAAGTCTGGGCACGTGCTGTCATCTGACTGATGGGTTTGCGCGATGTCGTAAATAAACCCATAATGTTGCCTTCAAGAATAGAACTGCGGTCCTGGCGACCTTCAGAAGTGCGTGTGCTTTGCAAACCTGATAGAACGTTTTGGTGCTTTCATGTTTTGTATAGTCAGATGTGGGACTCGCAACTACGGGGTATGGGAATATTCTTGGTCAGGGATCGAATTACTCCGGGGACAAAGTTGTGGCTAAATATACCTTAAAAGAAATGTTTCGATCAAAATAATACAATATTTAGAGCTTAGAGGTGCACAACGCGTTAGTCGCTAGCCATATCCCGAAAATGGGATGGGAGTGGCTGCGTATTTCATTTGAACATGACCTGGTATGCATTTTTCGTGGGATATTTCTTTCTGATGAACACCTCAACATATCCTGTCTTTGTGAGAGGCAAGATTACAATTGCCCCAAAATGGGTATCTCCCACCAGCGCAGTCGACGCCACGTTCACATGAGGTGTGCAGCCACATCCCCTCCATTTCCGAGGTATGGGCTGCATAGTCATTAAATCGGGGGTTGCTCAACGCAATCGTAGTTCGTCGCTCAGTCGCGCGCGAAGATGGGCGCGGCGTTTTCTTAATTTGCATTAGCCTGTCTAATGGAGCACCGAATTTAATGTGTGACATAGTAAACATTCATGGATATTTTTGGTTATACGATGTTTGCTGTCGCTACCTATGACATTGGAACATCGCCATTTGTAGGCGCGACGTCGCGCGTGGCGCCCGCCAGCGCAGCGAGCTACGATTCTCTTGTCGCATACCGTAATAATTCATCCTTGGTGTTTTCATATTGCTGGCTAATGAACCTTGACTTTAGTTTGCCTTCTGCGGCTTTATTTCTGAGAAGATTGTCTCCCCCCCCCTCCTCTTTCCAATTGAAATTCAGAACCGGGCGAAAACATTGGTTTTTGCGATAATGAGGTGTTAGGCGAACATAATCCCTCGTTTATGTTACACTTGTCCCCGCCTCTTCAACCCTTATCGTGCCGTCATTTATATTGCTTTGTTCACACGGAACCCCTGTATGGTGTTATCATTGTCCCTTCATCGTGTTTCTTTTTGTATTTTGAAAACGCTAGGCAAAACAATTGGAGAGCTGTTTTGATCGTGAGTAGAAATGTAATTTTGTTTACGACAGTTTGCACCGAACGATGCCCCGGAGTAATGCGTCGTCACATGACGTGTTCCAACATTCCGGGTGCATGCCATCTTTAGGCTGAGGAAAAGTACTAGCATACCCCACATGGGAAGCCGTTTTAGTTCAATGGAAATAGTAAAATTTAGTTTGTATGGGGAGTTTACGCCATTTTTCTCCGGGGAAATAGCTGCGAATGCACTCATGTTTACGCCAGCCGAGTGCTGCACGTGCTTGGCAAGTAGGGCCGAGAGAGTGTTTTTGCCGAGTGAATGAGAATGTGAAAGGAAGGCGTAGCTAGTATAAGAGCTGGAATTTTTACATCTACTCATACTACTACTACTCTTCATTTCAGGATGTCGAAGGCACCCACTGTGAGTGAATTAGTAGGAACTGCAAATATTACTTTCAAACCTGCCGTTACCGCGCATGTTGACGACAGGGTATTTAATAGTTTTTAAGTTTTTTTTGTATCCTTCTTTGTTGTTGTCTCTATGGATAAGCTTATTACAGGTCCGCCCTGATTATGACACCGATGTATTGTTGTGGAAGCCTGGCAAGCTGTCGAAGAAACAGCGTACCATGTCGGTAGGATCCAGTGATTCAGAAGGGCTACGCAGCTCGGGTGACTCTTCCCGCTCTAGGTGAGTTGAATGCTTCTTCACCTTCACAATTAATGAATTGATTGTGAATTTATAGCTCCATCAGCTCACCAGTTGATGTCCCCCGTCCACGAAAACTCAGTCTCAGTGAGATGCTATTTGGCTCACCTTCAACTGGATTCAGCTGGGGACAGTCCAACATCATGAGCTCTCCCATTGATGAAAAACGTGAATCGATCACCGAGGTTGGTCTCAGTTCGTTTGAATTGGTGCTCTTTAGACTGATTCTTCTTTTTCAGGACGCACGATTCAAGGAATTCCTGAAGCATCAGAACAAAGTCCTCGGTGACGGTTGGTTTCCATGGTTAGATTAATAGCCGGTCCTAGCCACGATAGTCATTGAGACACGTCCTTGCGTACGGGAGCACTCTCCGAAATATCACCCCTCCCCAAGTAAGCCAAATGGGGTGGGGCCCTCTTCGCCTCCTCGATCAGTCGCCAGAAGTAGCTGAGCTGCCGACCAGGGCGAGAGGAAGGAGCTCCATGTGCGATCCCCCTCCAGCGATCAAATACGATTCCCTCCTCCCGTGACTTAATACGATACCCCGGGCAGTTCGGCGATGCGGGGGGGGGCATTTGCATTTTTACTACTTCCCATCGACGTGTCGAAGCATTTAGAGACCATTTCGTGAACTTACTGGAGCTGACAGGTTTCATCATGGCGGCTCGACGAGCTTGTTGCAGCTTCACAAAAGCACAACTTTTACCAGAGTGAGACTTGTAAACTGGAAGTAGTGAAGCAGAGAAATAGCAGAACAAGCAGAGAAAATAGATGCTAAATACCCCCCCCCCCACTGAACTGCCCCCGATCTCCTCCTGTGACCTGATAGTTTTACTTTGCTGTCCAAGAATATGTTGTTTTAGACGGAGTGTGCAGCTTCAAGAAGAGAGACTACATGAAATAAAGAGACCGGTGATTGCAAGCGACCCTTGAAGGTTGCATTGATCTGAAATGTTTTAATTGTAACTGTACAAAGCTGGGTAGTAAGACATGTAAATAAATGACTTGTAGCTGAATTTTAGAGTGGGCCAGGTATTTTGCATGTGTTACAGTCGTTCTATTTATTTATGCTTACATGGCCACATATATTTGACTTGTACATAATTGCGGGATGTACATACATGTTATGATTCTCGGTGAATGTTTATTTTATTTTTGTTCGTTAAAATTGTACATAACAAATTTTGTTGTGTAACAAAGTGTTCTTTTGGCATTGCTGAGTATTTTATGAAATAGCTGTTTCCAACCGGCAGCTAATACCGGCTAATTCCGTCAGCTGATACGGCATTGTGATGTCTGAAGTGGTATGGTCAATACTGCTCCCCCCTCAATCCCTCCGATGGTAGGACTCTCTCCCCCCTCCTCCGGAACGGAGGACGTCATCAACGTACTCTTAACGGTGGTTTAACTGCCAACGCTGAGGCGTTCCACAGGGGGCGGGTTTGGTGCGGCGATAGCCTTATTTCCACCGATGGTGCAAGCTGGCAGGTGACCGCATGTGGTGGTATAATAGTAAGCGCTACCGGCTAAAGGGTGAGGATATACAACACAACAAACGGGAAAAATCGAAATTCTCCCAGCGGCCCTTTACCGTAATTGGTGCGTAAGAACGAGGGAACATTCTATCGTGTAAACAAAGAAAAAAGCTGCATACTTGACCTTGAGGAAGAAGGATTCGTACCTACGATTCTGTTTTCACCCACGCTATATCATTGGGGAATGGGTCATACTGGAGGGGAAAGGTGGAGAGGAGTAGTATTTAGCAAAAACTTGGCCCAGCGCGATATTCTGGGCTGGTGCGAGCAGGTAAGTTGGGTACGGATGGGTGACCCTTGGGGCAGCTGATCGCCCACGTTTTGTCTGACGCTTTTAACATGAGAATGGTGAACTGTTCGCGGAGGTGAAGGTCCTTTTCAGAAACCAGGCCCTTCCATTCTGGCACTGTTCAGCATTAGTTCACTGTTATGAAGCGTGCTTCACTGGAAGTCGATATGGTTTTCATCCCTCGGATGTTGTTTTTGAATCTGATCAAAGGTAAACATTAATTTGGTGTGGGGATATCCTTCATGCTTCGTGAACCGCTTGGGGACCGCGGGCATACTGATATGATCACTTTGGTCGATTTATGTTAGGCGTTTTTCATGTCTCTAATGGTAAGTGGTACACTCTGTATCCCACCTTAAGAGGGGTCGTAGTTGCTGACTCAGATCGTGTGACGGTGGTCTCGAGGCTTCTTCCCCATATTACAGACTTCTTCAGGTCTCAGTTTCATTAGCAAAGTGTCATAAGATTCCAAGTTCAAACAGCGAGTCTCTTCGTTAGCAAAATCTACCAGAATTTGTTCGAAGCCGTCGCCACGCGCGCCACCACGTACGCAGCTACGATCCGTCTCTTGGATGAGGTGCAACCTCCTCCGTGGGGGTACTAAATGGTAGTCCGCGAAGCTTGTAGATTGGAAGAGGGAATTGCCATCGATCTCCTGGAGAGGAATTTGAAAGTGATGG